CACCTTAAAACATTCGCCCTTTTCAAGCCGAGCTATCAGCCTAAGCTGGTCAAAGTGGCCTCTGTCTTGGCTAAGAGACAAGTGAAAAGAAGGGGGGTTATACCATCACAAAATTCACGCTAAACTAACCATGCCACAAATTATTATCATGTTTTATACACATTTGATTTAACACAGAAAACCATGAATCTGATATTAAGCACTGGTAGCCATGCCTCTTCCTGAGTCAGTGAAGGTCAACAACTTTGAATTGGGAATAACTTTACGTCTTGGTCTAATTACTCAAAACGAGCACAAGGGTTTTGAACCATTTTACGTGCAAATATACGCACATACACCTACCTGTACTCATGCATAGTTAGACTTGGATATAAATTTATGGGTTTTCTTGACGCGTTGTATGCTTGAAATCGTTATACGCATTCCAGCTCTGAAGATGGCTGTCATACGACGGGCGAAGGCTCAGCTTCGCTTAAATGCTGAAAACATAAATTTATGATTAGGCTTACTTCCATTTCGAGTGAAAGTGTTTGGTGAAGAGATTCAAAGGTCGATCCCACCAGAAGACGATGGCGGGTTCCTTTTGCCTAACACTTATGAAACAAGAGCTTCCTCGAAAACCGAACTTTCATAATATAGACTTTCTACAATTTGACTAAAGTCTTTTCCTTTCATCATGCTCAGCCCAACCATGGGAGATTAAAATTTAATTCAACAATTAATGGAACTTTATTCCCGAGTAGCCAGCAATATTGTTCCTTCATTGTAACATCGAAGGTGGGGTCATCAGTACTCTTGTATGCGTACACCACATGCATCTGTTAGGGTCTACAGATTTAGTGGACGTGTAACCTGAGCTATGTATGATGGCGGCCTGGAAACTTGAGCATGGGCTAAGGAAAAAAATGTCAAAGATTTGTCTAAGCAGAAGGGATGGAGGGCTTGCGTGAGCTTCATTTAACTGTGAAAATTCGCAAATTTGTTAGCCTTATTACTTAAAAGTTGATAAGTAATACTAATTTTCTATGTGAAACCTACGAACCGGGCGCCAGAGAAACTCAGATAATGCTGCCCATCCTTCTGATCCTTCCTTCCGAACCCGTCTAAAGCCTTTCTCTGTACGAGTTGCTTCAAAAGTAAATTAGCCAGTGCCCTTGTTCTGTTTCTAGGCCGGTCAGTAGGACTGCGACTATAGTGTCATAGATAGTGGGCATTTTTCCAAAAAGGCTGAGCACGCAGAAGACTTGTTTGGCAGTAAAGAGCTGTAGCCACTATTTAGAGAAATAGCCAACGCAACGCATTGAGTTGCGTCTTTACAGCACTTCCATTCTATGAGACGCTTGCTCACTTTCTACCCTACAAGGCATGCATTTGTAATGACACGAGTGAAACTAGAATGGACGAGCCCGTAATTGCTCTTACAACCAGCCTCGTTTATCTTCCATCCTGCCCTCAGCAAACGCCTCGCGTTCATCCCCCTTTATGCTCTCACTTTCTCTCACTTTCTCTCACTCTGGCCTCGTGGAAATGTATCCCAAATCAAGGCTCTCATTAGTACGGCTCCAGAAAGACGTGCTCCGGGACCTTTTCATGGACACGGTTGTGCCCGATGCGAGATGGGAATATGATCTCCTCGTCTTTATGCCTAAGACACGCAGAATTGTCCAGTCAACGTCATCTCGGTTAACTAGCTTCATTTCTCTTGTCGTCTGCTTCTCTTCTGACTTGGGCCGGGCATTCGTCATTCACCTCTGAGATGCACCAGTGTGTATAGGCTATAGTTGAGCAGTGCCTTACTCTGCCACCTCCCTCGCCGAACGAGTGACCCTTCGAGAAGGATGGCCAAACATGATGATATGGGGGAGAATAAAGACTCACATTCGCAGAACAAGCTAGTCGCACGCCACCTTTCAATCCATATATACTCACGCTGACGATTTCGGACACAAATACATACAAATATTGATAGATAGATAGATGTATAGATAGAAAAAGAGAGAGAGAGGGGGGCTCATCTCACTTCAATTTAGAGGAGTGGTTTGCCACAGGTCGAGTCGTTTGCTATACCAGCCATCTGAAAAGGCGGGGCCAAAAGTGAATGAGCAAACGATAGAAGACGGACTATGGGTTAGCACTTGGCTTGCCCCCCAGCCAATGTCTGGAGGCGGGAGAAGGGGTGCAACAGAGGCAAGTCCGGAGGGCAAAACAGAGACGAAGGTGTAGACAATATGAGAGAGTTGTCGAGTGTGGCGTGAAAATGGGTAGGAGAATATTTTCGATAGACATTAAGAAAAGGCTATTTGCAGACACGTGCCAAAAAGGACAAAAGAAAGACGCGGATAAGCTGCGGTATATCAAGCCATCCAATCATTTATTGAGGATTAGTGCAACTGTAAGGCATAAAGGCCTACCTGCTTGCTTGTATAAGAGGCTCTTTAGTGGGCGTACAGGCGAAACGTATACGGAGTACACACGAACCACATGTAGGCATAGAAAGAATAAGATGAAGCTTCCTTACCCTGGGAAGTTGGACAATTTCGCTGATTTACGCACTATTTATACACATAAACCAGGTCGGAATCGAATTTGTACACAGCCCATGATGTCTTAGTAGTAAATTGCCCTCTCATCTTCCCCTTCCCATTCCATATTTTCACATGTTCATAAGCATAGTCTTCCAACCCACTAAATGTATCTATGCCGTACACTAATACTCAGGCTCAAGCCAGTGCACAAAGGCATTTACGTATGCAATTCTCGCTCGTGTAAGTGTAGTAATGGGCTGTAATGGGTTTAGGCTCGACTAGCATACAACTATGTATGCGCACACCTACTGGGACCTGGCTCGAAGTTATTAGTCCGCATTGGGTCATTCAAGTCTTCCAGTCGAATGAACAGCCAATTCATTACACCCAATTGGCCTGACTTGGCTTTGATAAGACTATCAACTTTTTGGGACACAAATCAGCCGTGAATGGAGCAGGGCAGACTCGTTTATGTCTCTACGAAGGACACAGAAGCAAAGATACGCAGATCTTATGGTTCATCTGCTTTGAAGACAGTAAATCACAGCAAAGATGAATAAAGAAAAATGATGACTAGCAGGCTGAGATTTCAGTTGGATAAGAAGGTTTCTTGGGTCAATAATAAAGCAGGATGAAATGAAAGTAAATTTCCCATAGTCTTGCCCTATGAAAACTGAACTCCTCAGGATTTATATATATTCTCGAAGCCTAAAATTATCATTATCCTCTCACATGCAGAAACTGATGAAATAACGTCCTCTACTCGGGATAACGATGAGGCCGTATTCAGTAATCCTGTAAAACAGATATCACGGTTTACATTTTAAACATTCACGCAAGCTGAAATGCCTGCTGGTTGAGGTAAAAAAACTGGGTCTTGAAAAATGCTTTAACCACGGTTCGCGACGATTTGCTTGCTAAGGAAGTGACCAATACAAATGAAGTTATACGCAGTCTAAAAATTTATGTTTGTGATCACGGTGTGAAGCCCAAAAGTGGACGTTGCTTCCTGGTGTTGCAAGACCTTCTAAACTAAAACAATAGTTTGGTGGAGCTCACTTCCATTTTGAGTGCAAATGTGTGATAAAGAGAATAAAGGTCGATTCCACCAGAAGACAAAGATGGATTCTTCTTGGCCCACTGTCGTTTGTCTTTACTATAACATTTTGAGTAAGACTATTCCATAATGCAGATGTTCTTGTACCTTCCAGTTCCGATAATTTGTAGCCATCACAATGGTTTTGTTTTCTTGTTATGTACACATGAAGTCACCTTTGCACAAACAAGCAGACGAATGCTTTTAGAGAAATGCATAGAAGAAACTATCGAAATAACTACCTAAAAAAATCCTCCTTTTAGATTATATCTACAGTGTGTAGGAGTAAGCCTTTAAGTTTCCTTGACTCGTAAGCTCGAATTATTCAATAAAATGATGCCTTGCTCTAATGATTTCATTCAAATTAAATAATTAAGGAATTCCCAAATATGCTCACTAGACTGAACGGAGACTGCCTCGGAAACAGCGTTAAAAGAAAGTCTGAGTTTCCAGGCTAAATAGTCAAGAAAGCCCACTAGTTTATCCCTTCATACTGTATATGCCAGTGGTTCGCAAACGTTTCCTAGTCGCGGCGCCCTTTTTCAATTAAAATTTTTTTCGATGGTGCCCTACCATAAGTATGACTATTCGGAAGTAAGAGATTAAAATAAATAAAACTCGTT